TTGCACCCAGGCTTTATGGGAATGGCTGAGACCACTTTCTTTTGTCCATCATATATCACTCCTGCCAGGACCCATAAAGAGAACATAACCCAGAATAAGCCTAACAGCTACAGGAACCTCCTGTTCCTCATGGGACTTTATTCTCTTTGTTGGTTTGGTGAACACTAAAATAATGCCTGTGAATTCCTGGTGAGGTAGATCTGAGAAATCCAAATGTTTGCACATCCTTTAAAATCACTATGGAAACATGATTTATGTAATCTTTGTACATTTGACACAAAGTCATTTGACACAAAGTCATTTGACACAAAGGCACAAAGTCTTTGCTTAAAGTTAGAAGCCTGCAGAAGTCTGCCTATGTGTCAGGCTGTGTGTCTTTAAAGGAAAAATCTTAAGAAATGAAGGTCAGAATGCAAGGACAATGCTCCATGAAGTTTATACTTCAGAAACTAAGACTCAGCACAAGTCTTTCATTTGCCCTTCTGTGTCTCTCAAATACCACAGTGTATTTCTTAAGACTAAGGTTTACTTAAATTATTTTCTAGAAAATCTCACAGGCATAAGGAAATTGCTAAAGTTACACACATAGATACAAATATTTTAAAGAAAGATTCTTTGCACTGTTTCACTCAATAGTACCCCTACAAAATGAGATTTGCAACCTTTAGTACAGGTAGTTCCCACAGATAACTGAATGGGCCCTCTGCTTCTCAATGTACATGCATCTGGGGTGTCAAGTATGTGGCAGTTACTCCCCCACTGCACTTGCACCAGGGATTTCAGGCCCTGGAATTGTAGACAATCCTGCTTCAATTTCCTTAGATACAGCTTACACAGTCTTGTTTATATCTTATAGAAAATTTAAATTCAATCAGACCACCATGAAAGTTGTGGAAACTCATTTCCTCATGCACCAAATATTTAAGGTGCTACTACAAGGAGTGGTCAGTTTTGGTGCTTATCAGCATGTGGCTATCAAATTCCTGCATGATTTCAGAAGACCTGGATTCTCATCAGGGGAATTATGAGAGTGGAACAAAGAGTTGTTCTAAGTATAGCAGATTCTCCTAGATGATTCATTATATTGCCTAATTCTTGTCAAAGATTTTGCATTGTTTATACAAAATCTTAAAGAATGAAATCCAATGATTTAATTTGCAAAAACTTTAAAGTAATTTATTCATTTTCCTCACATGTCCTCGAATTCTGCTTGTCTTTTCTCATTCGTGAGTTCAGAATGTAGCTATTAAAAACAACATGCTACACATATCGTCTAGTAGTATAGTAGACATCAAGCAATGAAATGTATATATTGCTTTTGTCAGAAATTATCTCAATATCCAATTTTTTTCCTCAATTGTATTCTAACAAAAGATGATCATCTGTCACTTACCTGGAACTGAATCCTCTCCGGAGAGTCATTCAGAGCAGAGCATATAGTTCAAAGATGGAGAAGATTATATATAATTTCGTAAAACAAAAACTTACCAGTGAACTATGAGAACAAATAGATTTTTCAGAGGTCAAAGATGATCTTTTGCTAGAAGGGGAAATTATTATATTTATTGAAGTTAATTTCTTACCCAGTTTATACTGAGAGAGAAGCACATAAAGCCATTCTTAGTCATGGGTATCCACAGCAGGAAAGTCTAAAAAATCTGGGCCATTTGTATGACAAGGTGTTATTGGCATATTACACCCAACAATCCAATAAACATAGAATTTCAATTTGGGCTTAAGAACTCGGCATGACTCTAAG